CTGGGATGCAGGGCTAGTTCAACATTCGCAAATCAATCAACGTGATATATCACATTAATAAAAGAAAAGATAAAAACCATATGATCCTGTCAGTGGATGGTGTATATGATCTATACACACATACTCCTTGCCTGAAAGGAAGAGGTTCTTCTGTTCCCCATCATCCTGTGGGAAGAGCACCTCCCCAGATATTCTGGATTCTGTGTAGGGGGAGAGGGATCAGGGGAGACCTGCAAAAAGCAGTTCTCAGACCCCTCCTCCCTTTCCAAGTCCAGAGGCCATGTTGTCTGGACTACCACCCCGTACTGGTGGGGGGTGTTAGTACCAGCACAGTCCTGGAGTCTAGCCTGGGGTCACTGAGATCCTGACAGTCAAATATCTCTTCCACTTCTGCCTGCTTTTAAAGGTGTATGGAACACGAAAGAGAGCCTGAAATACTAGGCAGGTAATTTATATAAGTTTCTTAAGTGTTCTCTTAGGTTTTTAGCCAATGCTTAAAGGTTTGAAGAAAGTCACTTTCTTAAAATCATAAACAGCAAAGGAATGTTCATTCAGAGGTATTTTGGCCATTTGCCTTCTTTTTTTGTTGTTTTATTTTTTATTTATTTTCAAGAGGAGGGAGGAATAAAGAGAGGGTGACACGGATCCGAAGCAGGCTCTAGGCTCTGAGCTGTCAGCACAGAGCCCAACGTGGGACTCAAACTCACAAATGGAGAGATCATGACCTGAGCTGAAGTCAGATGCTTAACTGACTAAGCCATCCAGGAACCCTGGCCATTTGTCTTCTTTAAATTATTATCATTAAACTGAAAAATTGCCTAGAGAAAGAAATAGACATCCAAGTCCAAGAAGCACAGAGAGTTCCAAACAAGGTTAACCCAAGGAAGTCCATGTCACCACACATAATAAAAATGTCAAAGGTTAAAGATAAAGATAAAATCAGTAAAAGAGGAACAAATAAGTACCTAAAAGAGAAAATCTATAAGGCTATCAGCTAATGTTTCAGCAGAAACTTTGCAGGCCAGAAGGGAGTGGCATGATAAATTCAAAGTGCTGAAAAGAAAAAGCCTACAGCCAAGAATACTCTACTCAGCAAGGTTATCATTAATATTTAAAGAAGATGAATTATAAATTGGACAACCGTGAGGAAACGGATAATTTCTTAGACACAAAATCTCAGGGCACCTGGGTGGCTCTGTCGGTTAAGTGACTGATTCTTGATCTCAGCTCAGGTCGTAATCTTATGGTGTGGGATTGAGTACTGTGTCAGGCTCTGTGCAGTGCAGGGTCTGCTTTGGATTCTCTCTTTCTGCCCTTCCACCCCCACTCTCAAAACAAATAAACTTTAAAAAAGTAGCATACGATTTCCCAAAGCTGAACCAGGAAGAAATAGAAAATCTAAACAGACTGATCGTAAGTAACATAATTAAATCAGTAATATTTTTAAAAACTGCCAAAAATAAAAGTCCAGGATGAGATAGATTCACAGGTGAATTCTACTAAATATTTAAAGAAGAGCTAATACCTATTCTTCTCAAACTATACCAAACAATAAAAGAGGGAAGAAGGCTTCCAAATACATTGTAAGAGGCCAGCATTACTCTGATACTAAAACCATAAAAAGACACCACAAAAAAAAAGAAAACTACAGGCCTGTATCCCTAATGAACATAGATGCATTCCAGGAATGTAAGGATGGCTCAGTATTTGAAAATCAATCAACGTAGTACACCACATCAACAAAACCAAGGATAAAAATCACATGATCATCTCAATAGATGCAGAAAAAACATTTGACAAAATACAGCATCTGTTCATGATAAAAACTCAACAAAGTGAGATTAGAAGGAACAAACCTCAACATAATAAGGGCCATATATGAAATACCCACAGCCTAACGTCATACTCAACAGTGAAAGACAGTAAGCTTTCCCTATAAGATCGTGAATAAGACAAGGATATCCACTTTTATTCAACATAGTACTAGAAGACCTAGCACACCAATCAGGCAAGAAAAATAAGTGAGAGTCATCCACATTGGTAAAGAGAAAGCTAAATTGTCACTATTTGCAGACTACATGATACTATATGTAGAAAATCCTAAAGATTCCACCAAAAAACTACTAGAACTGATAAATGAATTCAGCGAAGTTGTAGGATTAATACCCAGAAATTGGTAGCATTTCTATAGACTAATAACAAGGTAGCAGCAAGAGAAATTAAGAAAACAATCCCATTTACAACTGCACCCAAAGGAATGAAATATCTAGGAATATACTTAACCAAAGAAGTGAAAGACCTGTCCCCTGAAAACTATAAAATATTGATTAAAGAAATTGAAGATGACATAACAAATGGAAAGATATTCCATGCTCATGGATTGGAAGAATTAATATTGTTAAAACGTTCATATTACCCAAAGCAACCTATAGATTCAATTAAATACCTATAAAAATACCAAAAGCATTTTCCACAAAACTATAACAAATATACTAAAGTTTGTATGGAACCTCAGAGGACTCTGAATAGCCAAAGCAATCCTAGGAAAGAACAAAGCTGGAGGTATCACAATCCCAGATTTCAAGATATACTACAAAGGTGTAGTAATCCAAACAGCATGGTACTGGCACAAAAATAGACACATAAATCACTGAAACAGGATAGAGAGAGCAGAAATAAACCAACACTAATATGGTCAATCTATGACAAAGTAGGCAATATGAAATGGGAAAGAGAGTCTCTTCAATACATGGTACTAAGAAAACTGGACAGCTACACTTAAAGAATGAAATTGGATGACTTTCTAACACCATACACAAAAATAAATTCAAAATGGATTAAAGGCCTAAATGTGAGACCTGCAAGTATACAATTCCTAGAAGAGAACATAGGCAGCAATTTCTCTGACATTGAACATAGCAACATTTTCTAGATATGTCTCCTAAGGCGATGGAAACAAAAGCAAAATTAAACTATTGGGCCTCCATCAAAATAAAAAGCTTTTGCATAGCAAAGGAAATCATCAACAAAACAAAGAGATGTTCTACTGGATGGGGTTAATATCCAAAATATATAAAATGTATAACGAACTTATACAACTCAAAACCCCCCAAAAATAATTAAATTAAAAAATGGGCATCCTGAGTAGACATTTTCCCAAAAAAGACATACAGATGACCAACAGACACATGAAAAGATGCTCAGTATTACTAATCATCAGGTAAATGCAAATCAAAACCATAATTAGATATCACCTTATACCTGTCAGATCAGCTAGGATCAAAAAGACAGGAAGTAAAAAATGTTGGAAGAATGTGGAGAAAAAGGAACCCTCATGCACTGCTGATGGAAATGTAAATTGGTGCAGCCACTGTGGAAAACAGTATAGGAGTTCTTTGAATAATTAAAAATAGAACTACCATACAATCTAGTAATCCCACTGCTGGGTATTTACCCAAAGAATACAAAAACACTAACTCAAAGGGATACATGCAACCCTATGTTTATAGCAGCATTACTTACTATGACCAAATTATGGAAGCAGCCCAGTGTCCATCAATTGATGCATCCATAAAGAAGATGTGATATATATTTATTATATTATATTATATTATATTATATTATATTATTATATATAATTCAGCCATAAAAAAGAATGAAATGTTGCCACTTGCAATGACATGGATGGAACTAGAGAGTATAATGCCAAGCAAAATAAGTCAATCAGAGAAAGACAAATACCCTATTGTTTCACTCACACATGGAATTTAAGAAACAAAACAAATGAGCAAAGGAAAAAGAGAGAGAGAGAGAAACTAAGAAACATATTCAACTATACAGAACAGACTGATGGTTATCAGAGGGGAGGTGGCGGGATATGAGTGAAATAAGTGATGGGTATTAAGGAGT